ATTTTACTCTCCACTCTTGACCTAATGCAGAAAAAGAATTCTCTTGGTTTCATTTAGTCTTCTTGTTATATCATCCCCATCTTCAACTCTAATTAGCAACTTCATCTCTTCCCTTAAGTAGCATGTCTTGTTGTCTGCTGGAAAAAAAAAAAAAAAGAAAACATTTCTTGCTGTCAACAGATGTTAATCGCAATCTTAGTAACTGCACTAATTGCTAATAAAAATAGAAATTATACAAAAAAACTATTACTAAATATACATTTTTTAGGTCTCATAATAATTTACAATAGTTAGATTTTCTACAATAAAAATAACTATGTGTGTGTGTGTGTGTGTGTCAAATAAATTGTTAGCAAGTATAAAGAAAAAAGAGGGCAAAGGAAAAGAGAACAAATCAGCAAAATATTTATACTAAATATTTAATTTGTTAATGAAATAGAAATTACTTAGAATAAATATATACATTTTAATTTCTTATGACAATTAAATTTTTTTCATAAAAAGTTCTTTAGCATATTATTATCAAAATTTGTATTTCATAGTAGGAATTGAGAAAACAAAGAGAAAAAAAATTGTCGCTTGACAATATACTAACAATGAAGGCATAATTATCTTTTTGTAATCCAAACACATAGATTATTATTTGGAAGTGCAATTTAGGTTTCATGAATACAGGGACTATTTGTTACTAACACCTAATTACAAAAAAGCAGCATGTCATTAAGCCATTTATTCTAATTACCTCAAATTGAATGTTGCCATATAGAATTTGCTTGCAGTCAGAAAAGCACTCAAAATGCATTATAAAATCGAGGCTTGGTGGACTGTAGGAGGACTTGTGAGCCAACTTGAGGTGAGTGCGTGTCTTCCATTTCACCACCAAGGCATGAATAGTAATATGATATGTATCTAGTGTAATGTATATGCATGAAATACATGATAAAGGTAGGATATTTTTATTGATCGGTCGTATCATGTAGGCTTGAGTTAGACCTCCAATTACTTCGATTTAAATTATACGGAGGATTCCTTAAATATATCAAAATTTAAACCTATTTCTCATTCATTAAAAGCTGAAAGAGTTGAATCGAAATGCACTACAAATTATATCCACATTTTATGATTATCTTTTAATTCTTTTTTTTTTTTTTGCCACCTTTTATGATTATCTTTTAGTTCTCTTTTTTCTTTGGTTTTGCTAGTAGGAAGGATTAGGACTAAAGAAGCGAACAGCAGAGAATAGGGGGATTTGAGCCCCCATGACCTCGACACCCACGACAGAAGGCAGCCAACTCTTCAACGTCACCCATGAAATTAAGATAGAAAAACGTGTTGTTTGGGCAACCCTCTTCAAGGTTCCATTTGCTACGCCAAGCATGTCATTTAGATGACCAAACAAGATGAAGTTTCGAGAATTATTGTATAATTTGACAACAGGAAAAAAATTCCAAAAATGGAAAATCAGCTGCAGCTGTGGTTTAGAAAAGATTTTATGTCATAGTGTCGCAGAATAAAAAATTATGTCCCAAGGAATTTCTTGGTGTATGAAACAGGGACGCATTAATAATTGTGAAGCATGCACATTAATAAAGATATAACTGCAAATTCACACTTCCAGTTGAAAGATTTTACGGCAAGATACATACAGATACATCATAATATCATAATGGCTCCAGAGATGTTTTTATGGACTGCATCTAATTCAATCAAGCCTATAGCTACATATTAGTTTTACATATTGTTTCGTCATGCAGCTGCAAATCAAGGTCTATTTATCCCCGACAGACCTTTTTCCACTTCCATGCTTGTGTGGCAGAAACCGATCAGAAACAAGTTGAGCTTAATTTCGTGAGGTCGAATGAAATCAGATTTAGGGAAAATAAAAAAAAAAAATTGTTTCTTTGCTAGCTCCGACACATCAATGCGAGAGAAAGAAGTTGCAGATCTTTCAAATTTTGAGAATTGCCTGGGTTACTTTGGTACCAAGAAAGCTACTACTCGGGTGGGATGTGATTTTACATGCATCGGATCGTTTGGTAATGTTCTGTATATTCGGCCCCCAACCTTCAATATTGAAGTGAGTCGTACCCTATTGAAGTTTGAAATCTACAGTAGAAGAGGACCTGCCCGCTTGGGAGATATAACGGCCGCAGAAATGGCGGTCTCCCAATCGAACTGCTTTTACTTTCTCGTTCAGTATTTACATCTGTCATCTCTGAATTTGATTTCTTGCACGAAATAATGAATTAGAGCTGTTTTTGTTTTTCCTTTTGGTAACAATTGGGATTTTTACGTAGTTTGAATTGTCTTGAACAAAGGTGTAACCCAAGCATTTTCTATAAAGATTTTGGTGTCAATTATAAAACTTTTAGGGTGGAAATTGGAGTACTAAGAAATTAGAGAATTGTTGTACAATTCTGAATTGTCAGTGGCAGAAGCCTTCCTTTCTCTTTCTCTTTCTCTTTCTTTTCTTCTTTTGACCAAATAGTTCATTCTTTTTCTTTTTCTTTTCCTCTAAAGGTTTGCATTTCCTTTTAAAATTCTCAAAGTAAGAGTTAAGGGATTCCAATGCAAGTGCAAGAAAGAAGCTAGTATATCCTTCTTTGTCTGTTAGTCAAGATAAGTTAGTTGTTCTTTTTAGTTTATTTACGGTTTAATTTGGGTTGGGGCATTTGGTTGATAAATTGACTTTATGATATGGTGGATTTTGGTTGGTTTGCTTGGATGTTGAGATTTGACTAAGTACTTATTATCCTTTGATATTTAAATCTAGGATTTATGGTGGTTGATCATATTTTACGTTGATAGGTAAGTTGGGTGGATTATTAGTTGGAATTATTGTATGTTAATTCTAAGATCTAATGGGTTCTTCATTTGGTTTAAGATGATATATTTGTTTTGTTGTTAATGTTTAAAAATGAGCTTTGGGTTAATTATGATGGCCCTGGGTTGATTTTTGGCTTGGGAGATGATTAAATTGAGTTAAAATGAATTGGGGAGAAGAAAATAGAGTTTTAGTTCGATTTTTCTCCGTTAAACCAGTGTGAAACCGGCCTTGGATCAATTAAGGGGCAGAACCGGTCATTTTCCAACCCACCTTTTTATCTCACATACATCACATCACATCACATAAAGTGTTACAATAATTATTCCAAATAATATTTCAAATAATATACTATCCAAATGGATACTACATCGTTGAATTCTTGTGTAATGTTACTTTTAACAGGACTAGTTGCTTATATATATGGTAGCTAGCATTGATGAAATGCGTGTTATGACAGGCTAACTGTGTGACAGGTAGCATTATTAGAAGGCTAACTATGTCATAGTTAGCATCTTGAAGGAAGAAAATATCGATTATGTTTATGGATCATATTGATATTTGATGGATTTTAGAGTACTGCAACTTTATTAGTTACCTTGTATCTTATGGCAACTCACAAGGTAAGATGGTGTGATCAAAATCTGAATAATTGGGAAACTGATGAACTCACTTCAACTCTAGCCTCATCACACCCATTCTTCTTTACTAGGAAGGAGTAAATTAGGCTAAATTTTAAATGAAATGAATTTATCAATTCCGCAATAAACTATGGATAGAATTGTTTAGGTAACTATTCCGGATAGAATTATTTAGGTAGGGCTAGCATTTTCCATGTCAAGTTTTGTTCATTAGGACCTTAATTATATAAATTGTTAAGAGGGCTTTAGTTCGAATTAAAGGATGGCTGTTGTGATGTTTGTTGAGGGCTTGGTCGAATAAAAGATTAGTGGTCATCTGAAAGAGTCAAAGGTGTAACGCAACAAATGAACCAAAAATTTTGTTGAGTATATAAAACAATCTGCATATTCTGAGCGGTGAAAATCTTTTTTTTTTTGTTTTAAATTTCCTTGAAAGCAATCTGCATATTCTGTAAAAGCTTTTAAGCTAATAAGTTGCTTTCTGTGTAGTACTAATTGGTGCAGCTATTTGGTTCAGCAGAAAAAAAAAAAAAATTTTTGACAGTTATGTGATCTAAAGGCTTTGAAAAGATTCAACCATGAAACAGACAATTCATAGTTTTCAATCAAGAAATATGATATAACAATATGCTGACAGTCACCTACAGAACTCTTTGATTGAAGCATCCGATCACCTCAGCTTACAAGTATTAATTATCTCTTCAATCTGTTCCTCTCCTCAGCAGAAATTTTAGTTTGATATCTGAATCATTCCACTATCACGAAACTGCAAATCAAGAATGTAATTATTACGTGCCCTTCATTTCCACTTTCATGCTATGAACATAAGCAAAAAATTACCATCATTCAGCAAAGCCAAAAAGTTGAGCAGGCAGATCAATCAAAAGTTGAAGAATGATATCCAGGATACATACCTGTCAAATATCGAGATTTGCTTTGTTTATGTAATTAGCATCAAGAAAGCCATCTCTAATGCGATGTAATTTTCTGACTGTCTCCCCCATATGCATGCGATCATTTGGTGATGTTGCTGAACATTCGACCCCAATCTTCAATATTGAAGTGATGCATTCCATCTTCTTGTCATCATTGTCTAATCCCACTTGTGCAGACTCTTCTTCAATTTCATCTCCTTGCTTTGAAAGAAGTAATATTGGGTCCACAACCTCAAGAACTTGTTCAGGCAAAGCCGTTTTAACATAATTATGCAGGTCCAATCCATCCATAAATATATCATCTGTTGGCCTCTTTCCTGTAAACATCTCTAGCAAAAGAATCCCGTAACTGTAAACATCCCCTTGGGTAGATACTTGAAGTCCCATTCCATACTCTGAAATTATTGCAGCAGAAGAGGAATTTATAACTTACACCTTTCTTAGATATATGTCTGTGTAGACCGTACACTGAAATTGCAGGCTAAGAATGAAAAGCATATATGGAGAGGTTGTCATAACTTATAAATATATGTCTGTGTAGACCGTACACTGAAATTGCAATATTTAATCTCTCGTGGAGATTTAGATTTCTTGATCCCATCATTTCAGCTGTCTCTGGATGCAACCACAAGTCAAGATTTCCGTTTCCCATAAACTCATAGACCAGAGCTTTGAAGTCAAGACCTTTGGAATCAATGCTGGAGCAGTAGCTCAAGATAGGGAGTAGATTTCGATGGCGGATGTTTCTTAATGCTTTGCACTCTGCCTTGAAGCTTTTGGAAGCCCCATTCTTTTGCAGGTCAAGGACTTTAACAGCAATAAGCCTGTCTCCATGTTCATATAACCTTCCTCTGTAAACAAGTCCAAAACTTCCTGAACCGATTAGGTTCGCTGGAGAAAATCCTGATGTTGCACGGTGAAGTTCGTGATAAGAAACTCTAAAGAGCTTGTCAACCATAGAAGGCTTGCTTGATGACCCATGTCTTCTGGCTTTTTTATTATATGCAATAATATATGCTAACAAGATCATTGAAATCAGAGCCACTGGGGAAAATACAGATATAACTATGATTAGTAAATGCCTGCTTTTCTTCTTTCTTTTGGTGATGCATGGTGGTAACCGTAGTTGGGGAATTCCTCCACAAAGTTTCCTGTTTCCAGCTAATGATATTTGGCTTGCATTCCTGAAAACTCCTTCAGTTGGTACCTCACCGTTAAGATCATTGAAAGAAATGTTTAGATATTTCAGAAACATAAGTTTCTCTAGACCTTGAGGTATCGGTCCAGTCAAGTTATTGTTTGAAAGGTCTAATTTTTGGATGCCCTTTAGAGAAGCCAAATGCATTGGAATTGTTCCTTGGAAAAAGTTGCCTTGCATGTAAAGCTCCTCCAAGCTTGAACAATCACCTAGTGTTCCTGGAATTTCTCCATGTAATTTGTTGTAGGAAATGTCAAGTTCATTGAGGCCTTTTAATTTTCCTACTTCAGATGGCAAGGAACCAATCAATGAGTTATGAGACAAGTCTAGACTAATTAGTGAGAGGTATGAGCCAAAGATATGTGCAGATATGCTGCCATTGAAGTTGTTCCAGGAAAGGGAGAGTTGTCCTAGATTTTTGCAATTCTCAAGAAAACGGGTAATATTACCTTCTAAGCTATTTTTGGATAAGCCAACATAGTATAGAGAGGTAATGTTGCAGAGTGTGGATAGTATTTGTCCCGACAACTTGTTTTCTTCTAGGTCCAAGGCCTGCAACTTTTGCAATTTAGGAAAATCACCTGGAATGCCACCTGTGAAGGAGTTCTGTGTCATGCTCAATATGTTTAGATTGACAAGATTTCCAAATCCTTTAGGGATAGTTCCTGAGATATTATTATATCCCATATGAAGATAGGTGAGTTGCAATGAGAGATTACCGATGTTCTTTGGTAATTCACCTCCAAAATGGTTCAAAGGGAAGTCAAGTGTATGTAACCTGCTGCAGTTGGTCAAAGATGGGAGAAAACTCAAGTCCCCAGCAGAGTTACTTCCTAGGAGATTCATTGCAAGATTTAACCCCAGAAGATTTGGTAAATCTCCTAGATTAGTTGGTACTTGCCCCTCGAATTTGTTTTGGGACAAATCTAAGAATTGAAGCTTGGAGGCATTGGTAATAGAAGTTGGAATATTGCCATGGAATTGGTTTCCACCGAGTTCCAACTCTTCCAGATTTGGTAAGGTAAGGCCTATGTTGGCTGGTAGCATTCCGTGGAGCATATTTTCCACTGCTACAAAGGATGTCAGGGTAGATATGTTAAAAACAGAGGAAGGGATGTCACCAACCAAGCCATTTACCCCGACTATAATCCATGATAAGCTTTTAAGCAAGCCTAACTCCTTTGGCAAATTCCCATTCAAGTGATTGTATGCGAGAGCAAGTTCTGTCATTGAAGATGCATTTCCAAGTGACCGAGGAATCTCACCTGTCAAATTATTTTCATTAAGGTAAAGGGCCACAAGCTTCTTCAAAGACCCAAGCTCGTTTGGCACTTTTCCTTCCAGCTGGTTTGATATCAAGTCTACGACTCTGAGCTCTGAGCACCAGCTCAAGTTAACCAGAATTTCTCCTTTTAAGTTGTTACTGGACATGTTAAGAAATCTTAGACGGAACAGGAGACCAACTTCTTGGGGAATCCCACCATGAAATTGATTTTCTCCAAGATGGATAGATTTCATGAAGCTAAGATTACCTATATGAGGAGATATGGTACCAGACAAGCCCATACCTGAGAGAGTTAAGGCTGTGACCCTCTGATGTCGCGTATCACATGTGACTCCTTGCCATTGGCAGTGGTGCTTTGAATGGTTCCACGAGTTCAGAACTCCATTTGGATCACCAGATATCTGGCTCTTCAACTCTTGCAAAGCAAGTAGATCAGTCATGTTTCGAGATATTCCACTTTCTGCTGAGGCATGTGGTGACAAATTCAGGGCAACGAGAAGAAGCAGCAGCAAAATCTTTGCTGCTGAAAATTCCCACGAAATGGAACTTGGATGCTCCATGTTTCTACTTCTGTTTGAAGAATGAGCGTTGTATTTGCAGCTGATCTTTTACTCCTATGTCTTGTGAAGTGTCTAGGACTTGGGGTTGACTTAATCAGTCAATTGGTCTACATGCAGTCTGCGCCATGTTGCTTTAATTTCATACCTGTGGCCTCTACATGCCTGGTTGTGGTTGACTTACTTATCTAAGTCTTCTGCCCATAAAACAAGTTCATTTACTCTAGTAAACTCACACTTGATGTTGCCATATAGCATTTGTTTGCTATCAGAGTACCACCCAAAATGCACTAAGAAATCGAGGCCTGGTGGACTGGATGGCATCATGGCAACCTGAATTTGACTTGTGATTTGTGTGCCAACTTGAAGTACTAAAAACGCACTATGACTCAATGTACACTACAAATTGTATCCACCTGTTATGATTCTCTTTCAACTCTTTATTGTTTATATAGTGTTACTTTTTTCCTTTTCTCTTTTATGATCCAGAAGGTATTTCCATCAGCTTGGTTATTTGTTTGTCTAAGTTTTTTTTTTTTTTTTAGTTTTTTCATTTCCCAATCACTCTGTCTCCCATGTATCCTTTTGTTCTTGAGATCAGAGTTGTATTAGTAGCATATTGTTAAGAGTATGTTACACTTTAGCCCCTGCAGTATAAGTTCTCTTTTTCACATAACCGTCGTATGATTTCAAAAGTTATACAAAACCCCTCGTAGTTTCAACAGCTGAAGCACCAAGAAGCACCCGGTCGGAGTTTAGAGGGATTCTAGATTCTTTGTTACTAGATTCCCTTGAAACAGATGAAAGCAGTGAACTTATTTTCTTCACATTGAGCAGCATTGTTGGCACTAGGCACATATGGACAACCAAGGGCTGGTCAAACAGAATTGGCAACCTTGCACTTATCAAGAAATCTCTTAGAATGAGCTCAACTACCGGATTTTGAACCCCATGAAGAAAAACCAGTACGGTCTAGTACCTCGGTTGGTTATCCGCTGCTCATGCAAGTAATCTTGGACGATATCCACGGCAGGAGTTAGCCATCTCTTTTAAGGTTAGGCATGAAACTAGGACAGAAAAACATGTTTGGGCAAACCCTATTCAAGGTTCCATTCGCTAAGCCAAGCACGTAATTTAGATGACCAAACTAGACGAAGTTTCAAGATTTCTTGTTTAATTTGAAAACAGGAAAAATCCAAAGGAAAATCTGCAGCTGCTGTGGTTTAGAAAATTTTGAGTTCATTAACAAAGATAGAACTGCAGATTCAGACTTCCAGTAGTAGACATCAACAGTAGAAAGATTTTACGGCAAGATACAGATGCATCATAATATCATAATGGCCTTAGAGATATTTTTATTGAATACATCTAATTCAATCAAGCATATAGCTAGCTACATTAGTTATACATATTATTGTTTCGTCATGCAGCTACAAATCAAGGTCTGTTTACCGCAACAAGATCCCATATACATCTGTGGGTCGATACTAGAAGGTCGATTCCATGCTCTGAAATTATTGCAATGGCTTTTTCTCAGTGCTTTTTTTTTTTTTTTAGTAGACTGTAGACTAAGAAACTTTAATTGGAAACTATAGACGAGTGCTCTCATTTGATGTCTAAATTCAAATCCAAAGTAAGCTTCAAGAAAGTTTCATGGAAAATTAAGCTAAGAATTGCGTTCTGAGGATCTGTAACTCTGCAGCTCACCAACTCTTTCCTGGAGTTCTGAACATTACATGTTTCGAATATTTTTTTTTTTAACTCTAAGACTTGTGTGAAAGATAGTTTTGTTTAAGTTTACATAAATCAGGAAAATATGTTTATGGTGTATAGTATTTTATGGTGCATAGACTAAATTTTCGAGTAGAAAATGTGTAATTGTCAGACAATCAAAAGGTTAATCAGAATTAAAAGATGCAACAGCAACTTAGTGGTAGTTATTACCTGACTACTGATTTCACAGCATTTTACACAAATACTTTACCGTCCATCCCAGCAGAAGTCAGACAAATTCACTGCATTATCCAAATTTAGAAAGGACACTGGACAAATCCTCCAAGTTAGATTACAGGGCAGGCCATAAAGCTAGAAGCGTTTTACAGTCCAACAAAACACAAAAAGATGTCATTCCTCCAGATTCTACGGTTTGCCCATCACAACCAACAACCTGTGCAGTTTGATTCCATTCAAAGATTTGTGATAGTCCTTCCATCAGCTGCAAAACATCCAAAGAAAATCTTTATAGATTTTGCTTTATCCTAGATTTGACAGTTTGCAACCTCAGGTAATTGTGAGGAACTAAATGCATTGCCAGTGATTGTACTCTTGAACAAATTCCATGCATCTGGTTTTACTTCATCTCTCAAGCACTAACTGCAAACATATGCTATCATATATACTATTAAGAATTTCAAGTGTTCAGGCAAAATGTAGATCCCAGGATGTCTCAGGATTGGGTACTTGATATGTCAATCATACATGGAGTAAATTGCAATTCCTTTGAAATGAACTCGGCAAAGTAGCATAACAACATCTGAAGCAACCAGATGGTATCCTAAGCAGAAACGCAAGTATAATATGTTCTCGGTTATCAGATTCGCTTCGAAAGATGTAGTAAATTAAGTTTTTTCCAATCCAGGATCCCTGTTGGCAACCACTAAACAAGCAAGGGCTGCTAATTGGTGACCATGCATTTATCAAGAAATCTCTCGGAAGAAGCTCAAGTAATAAACACTGAATACGAAAAAGAAAAATCAGTATGGTCAAATACCTGGGTTCATTATCTGCTCACGGAAGTAGATTCAGAGAAACCAAAAGTATGAGTCTGCATGGATCTTCAGTAAGCAAAAAACAGCACCAAACATCATCCAGACAAACAAAGCAAAATCCATAACTGAAGCTATTAAATTCTGCAAAAATATGGTAATGTACAGTGAGTCATTGATCCTGCATGAGTTTGATTCAAGGATATCCTAATGCACAAAAAAAATGCAACAAAGACATGATACATTGCATCTGATAATAATCCGCTAAATAAAATGTCTAAACTTAACAGCTCTGCTTTCTTTTGGGGCAGAAACATGCAACGAATACTTCCTACTCTATTACTTCCTAGCACCATGAGCAGAAAACATCTACCTTAAGCTATGCTGCTTGCATATGCGAGAATGATGCAGCTAGAAAAGTATTAGTTCAGGCGACTCCTTTTGCCAAGAGAAGTTGGTTTGCTCTTGGAAACGTTGGTGTTTGGTGTACATGGCATTATAAGCTTGTCAAGAGGAAGGACCTTAATGGGTGGAAATACATGGTCAATGAAGTCTGTGTCCTCGGAAGACACAGCAAGATTTTCTATCATCAGCAATTCATTAATCTCATTCTCTTGGAACCCAAATGCAAAGCCCAACTTAATTATATGGCACAAGTCCACATGACCCGAGCAATTGGATAAAACGACCTCTGATATTGCTCTGGCATAATCAGTCACCAGTTGAATGTCTTTTTGACCACTGCTCCAACTGGGTGTATGAATAAGCAGTCTCTTTGAGTTTCTGTCCCAGAAGACCTTCTTATAGATGCCGACATGCACTTCCGGTCCTGATGAAGGTACTTGTAAAGAATATGTAACCTCCAAGGGCTTATCAGTTCCAAAGATGGGGAGATCAAGGAGAGACTTAGCCTTCCTCAGCCTTGCACCTAATGGCATGTTAATTCGACTTGCCAAAAAGCCCATAACTATTTTGACTAACAGTTTCCCAATTATATTGTCCTCAGGATCCATCTGATGAAAATCGCCATTCACCAAACATTCAACAGATTCTGAAAGTTTTTGAACACCAAGACAGCAGTAAATTTCAGATAGTCGGTTTTGAAAATTCAAATCATCTTGGGGAAACCAAATAAATAGTGGCCTCTTGCTAGACTCTTTGAATGACTTCTTAAGCTGCAAGTCATCAGCAATGAAAACTTCTCCTCTGTCCACCAAATGGATTCCCCCTGAGACATCAACTGCAGGAAAAGCATTTATGTTTCTCTCAAGGATCTCCAGAGTAAAGTCATCCCAGTTTCTCAATATGTATCCCCAAAACGATTTCAACTCCACAGAAGTCACTTGGTGATTACTTTCCAACCAAAATTTCCAAAGGTCCATATATTTGTCAAGGGTAGGACACCAAGCGACAGAAAATGCTGAGGACAAAAAGTTCAGCAACTCCATCTCATACAACTTATCAAGAACATGTAACCGATGAGCAAATAAGTTGCAATCATCAGAAATTACGCAATCATGATTATCCACCCATCTACCACCGTCTTTAATATGATGATCAGAGATAATCCGCCACTGATATGTCGCACTATCCAACCACATCCCACAAACATCAACATGATCATCAGGGACCCACAACTCACATGTCACATTATCTTCAGAATTTGGAGTCCAGTGGTGCTTATACATGAATTTATAGATTCTCTTCACCTGACAAGTCTGAACTAGAGAAGTAAAATTTTGGAAAAACCAATTGCAAACTTCTTGTGCACCTGTCTTAACACCAATCATCCTCAGAGCATCCATTTCCACAGAATCAAGATTCCTGTAGAACCTTTGATCCAAGAATGGCCCATCAAGTAACTTTAGATGGCCCTCCCAGTCCAGATCATAAAGAAGAGCTTCCTGGGGCAATCTGTAGCCTAAATGGGTCTTCAACCATCTAGCCGCTCTCAATTTTTTGAGTAGATCTTCAAGTAGAGACTGGTCAGAAGAATTATCACTTTTAAGTGAGGCTACACAATGAAGTAATGACAAGAGCATGTCAACTGTAACAAGTGATGGATCTTCCGGTAGCTTCAGCCCACGTACAATGATGGGGATACCATTATTGAAATTGACCACAACACCCAGCATCTTCAGCTCCTCCTTGAAATTGTAGATTTCATCTCCATAAAAAGTCTCATCGATAACAGGAAGGTCCACTAACTGGGAAACAGTTGCCCATTCGCAGTTAAACAAGATAGCATGTGAAGTGTAGCTATAGCCATTGTTAGTTTTCAGCCACATTTCTTCTAACAAGCAACTAACAATAGCGGATACCAGACAAGGCATTTCATTCTTGGCACACTTCAGAAAATTCAAAAGTGAGATCACCTTGGTGCCAATCAGACCACTTGAAGCTATCAGCAACTTGAGTTTATCAACGACTAGCTTGCTTGCTGAATCAAGATTTACAATCACAGCAATTGCCTCGAGTTCTTCCTTGTAAGATCTAATCCTGCTTCCATAGTATGATTCATCGATAATGGGTAAAGAAACCACTTTGAGCAAGTGATCCCACATAGGATCAAATAATACAGATTCCGAGGGGCATCTAAAGCCAGATGTCGTCTTCATCCAACATTGGCTAAAGACATGTCGTGTAGACTCAAAAGCATCAGCACCTGTGAATTGCATGCACTTAAGCAACAGGAGCACAGAATCCTTAGTCAAACTAGATAAATTATCTGGAAATCTCAAATGCTTAGGAATCAGCTTATAGACTTCTTCCAAATCCACAGTGACACCCAGAAACTTCAGTTCATCCAGGAAAGAAGCAAGTTTGACCCCATATTTAGGTCTACAAACAATCTTCAAATTTGAAATTTGTGCAACAGCCTTTTCTTCAGCAGAAGTTAGGAGTACAGATCCAACAGGAGATGCATAACCTCGAAGAGTCTTAACCCATTTTCCCTCTTGCAGAGATTTCTTCATGTTCCCATCAAGCTTATTGTTTTCCCTGGAGTACCTAATGAAGCCCAAAATTAAAACTGCCAATTTGCTACTCATTTTAGAGGAAAGCAAAGGCTTCAGATGATCAGTAATAAGTTGAAACATATTCTCACTCCCAATTTTTACACCAATGAATACCAGCTCATCCATGAATGATCGTACCGCATGTGAAAAGTACACTTCATCAATAGCTGACAAGACATTGAGAGCTTTTCCCAGCTCCAGTAAAACAGCGTTTTCATTTCCGCCATAAAGATAGCAATGTAAGGGAGAGCTAATGCCGGAGCATGTTTTCATCCATTTTCCACTCCTAATACTTTCAATAAATCTTCGAGGTATCTCGTATTTCTTGGGCCATCCATTTATTTGACAATGTTGGGATCTCAATTTCTTGATCCAATCCAGAAGCAACAGAGATTGTTCACTTGTCAGTAGAGTAGAAGCTACTTGCAGAGCATCATCAGGAGGTAGTATATGAGGCAAGTCTATAGCTTTGACGTGCATCACAAGAAAGTTGAAGAGCTCCTTTTCAGGAGTAATGAGACCAGCAAACTCTGCAGCCTCTAAATAACTATCTCCAAGCTCAGCATACTTTCCACAGTAAGAACTATTATCTCCACCATTGGCATGATGAAGAACCTCATGTTGTTCTATTGACTTCTTGTTACTAGTCTCATAACCAATACTGAATGGGTTAGCCAAACCAAACAGCTTCACCCACGTCCCCATATATGCAGGTACTAGACTCCTAGAACAAAGGCTCACATATCCGGATTTATCAACTATAGGCATAGCCAGCAGAACTTTGGAAATATTATGCGAACCAAGGTATTTCTTCATAAAACTATGATATACAAAATGAGCAAACAAAATCGCAACATCTGGATCTTTTGTTCTTCTAATAAAGCCAACCACTTCCAAAGCATAGCTAAATGCATCAGTAATGACAACACCCAATGCAGAAGTCAGCCATCTCTTCAAAAAATTGTGTTTCTCATCTTTCAGGACTGCAGTTGCCATGAAATCAGGACAGAAAAACAAGTCATTAGGGCAACCTAGTTCGAGGTTCCATTTGCTCAGCCAAGCATGTTCTTCAGATGACCAAACAAGATGAATTTTCAAGGATTCTTGTTTAATTTGTGCAACACTGCAAGATAAGACATCCCCATTCCAAATAATGTACTTCAGTAGAGGAAGACAATCAACAGACTTAAGGGGCATATATTCCCAGTACTCAGCAAGAAAGCTAAGAAGATCCATGTACACATCTGGTGAAGCTCGGCATAAAAGGTTACAAGTTTTAATGCATTTTCCATACCAATCATAACTGCAATGTGCTGATGGTACACCCAAAAAATTCAGAAGTTCATCGTACATCTTGTTATCAAGAAGATTGTGTAAAACAAACTTCCGTTGAGAAGAAACAGCATTAAGAGGTATTTTGTCTTCTTTGATGCGGGTCAAGATATTTCGGAACTTCGGTAAGATCCTAAGAACATCAGTTGGACGACAGAATACCTTTGGCTCATCCAGAAATGACTCATAAAGAACAATGCATTCTGATTGGACCATGAATTTGATAAACTCTCTAACTTTATTAAGTTCTTCAAACGGGGATTCTTTTGCAGGCAAAAGATTAAGCGCACAATGCACTGGAAGCAGCTTAATCATTTCAGCAGATTTGATACAAGTAATTAGTGCTCCAACAAATGTTGATGGAACTTGCTCCAGGATTCCCAAATTCCACTTGTTGTCAACAAGTATTGCCTCTCTTGAAGATGCAAGTATAAAATCGGATTGAATCATGAAGGGGAAGTTGGTCACCATCGATGTCGGCAGAAATGCAAAGATTCCAACAGAGGAAGTTCCTCTTTTCAGCCTTTCACCCAAAGGGAAAGCCAGAGATATCACCCACTGCTTTACATCCTTCCTTTGTTCCACAATGCAAGCAGGTTTGACTGGGAAGGCTTGCCTATGTATGTAATAGGAGCATCTGGTCTTGGATGTACTGTTGTCATGTTTTTCTTGAACAGATATATGAAGTAGTCGGGACTCTGCAACTTGACCTCTTGCAGGGACAAGACTAGTTTCACTTGAAATGGAAACTGCAGAAAGTGAGTTCCTCGAAGACAGTATACCATCTTCCCAGACAGCTAACTGCTTTATCTTCTGCAAGAAGAGAAGGACTTCAGGCTGGATTTGTGATAGCTCCTTTTTCACAGTTTCAACCTTTTCAGCTTTCAGAGGGAGGACAATTGTCGTGGTGGGCAGAACGATGCTACTTTTGTAAACACTCTGAAGATCTTGGATAGATGGTCTGGTCGTCACCCACTCAGGAACAATATAACCTATTCCACAATCCCCATCTGGAAATTCCTTGAAGCATATTCGATACCCATTGCTAAAAATGAATGGTTGGGCACTCACAAGAAACACACTTTTAAAGCCAATTCCTGCGAGTTTTAAATCGCAATAGGAGGACTTGAAATGTTAAAATATAGCAACTAGGCAGACATGCATTAAGCAGAACTCTTTTGATGCACTATACTTCAAACCATTTTACAGTTCCTAGATGGCAAGACCTGTCCACACAACACCTAAAGCGTGAAATTGAAAAATTCAACCAGCAATGAGATGCTAGACAGAACAGTAAACAATCCTACTGCTTTTACTTATAAGACAAGATAGTCTTCGTATGGAATCAGAGGTTACAAACTAAGAATATTTTTAAGGGGTGGCACAAATGAACCTTTGATAATATGTATGAGCAGAAATCCTCTGACATAAACTAACCATTTCAGGCAACAGTTTCATCTCAAATCAACTTATCTTTTTCGAACAGCAATTTGTATTTGACTATGATCAGCAAAAATAATTCCCCTTATACTCATTAATTAGCATAGTCGAATACCTAAATGTCCTCCATTCAAAAATTATGACATGCAATTGTGATCAAAATGCTATTTCAGTAAATTTTCATTTTGATTTAATGAAAATGGCAGAGCTTCTAAACCAGAGCAGTACTTTCAGTTAACAAGTTGCATGAGATATATCACCCTAGACTACTACCTCTATTCAGTTCCAGAGTAATAGGTGTCTTTGGTAGGTTTGTTTTGCTACAGAGAATTACCCAGTTAAGTCTTGTATGAGTTTGTACCCAAAAAACATGAATAAATAAATTCATTGCACCATGTATACTATACTTGCCCAAAAACAAGTGAGCAAAAAACTTCATACATAGCCCTTGTCTCCACAACAGCAAGAACTTATATGCAACTATTACAGAATAATACTCAGAAAAAAGAGTGCTTAATCAAGATATAGTTGACTGGACTTGAAATTGAAAAAAAAATTGTATTTTTTAGGCTTGGCTAAGGAAGGAAGGGCACAGAAATAATGAAACCTCTGTTACCTTTCTCCCCAATGTAGCCCTGCCGTCTCTTGCCCTTCTTGGTGGACTGGCCAATACTGCAAAGAGCATCGATATTGGCTTTTGAAAACCCAAGCTCATTGTTAAATACCAACAATGTGGCTTGAGCACCAACACCTGTTATGTCCTTTGTTGTCATAACAAATTCAAGTTTTGGTCCAACTGCTTCTAAGTACTCATTGTCCTCAGCATTCTAGCATGAGAAACAAGTATGCAGTATTAGAATTGCTATTTGTAATATGACAGAATATGGTACATCTATGCCTGAATCCAAACAAAGCGGAATTAGGGAAAAGATGGGACCTGAATTAGTTCTTTCAAGAAATGGATATCCTTGGTGTAAAGCTCCGATGAAAGGCCTGCAACAGCATTGTGGAGGTCTTTCATCAAAGGATTTGGGACCTTTGCACCAATAGAGAACTTGTTCCTCCTGATATCCTCCACATGTCTCCTTGCAGCCTCAGTTTTTGAAATATATGGTCGAACTCTTTCCATTGCCTAACTTCTTCTCTTCAACCTAACACCGAATCTTTCAAATGACCTAAATTCCACTAATTTTTTATGAAGATAGTAAGGTAACCATTTGCCCAAAGCACATAGCAAACCAGGTAACAGCATCAAAGGCCGTAATGATGAAGAAGCGGGTTCCTGGTAGTTGACATTATTTGAAATGCCTATCACCCAAATGAAGATTAGACTTTAGATCAACCAAGTGAAGATTAGACTTAAGGTCAACAATGCAAGAGTATCAATGCTTCGGTGTAACATACTTCGATTTGGATACAAGTTATGTCAACTCTCAGGCTTGATTAACTGGAAAAATACTAGTTCACAGCAATGTAATGCTATTTATGACTTGTTCTTAAATCACTAGAAGTGGTTCTCAATAAAGACGCTTTAGAACTGGGCACCATCTGGGGTCATGATTTTGGTGTTTCTAAAGCATTTGCTTGTGAAAATAAAAACATGTAAACAGTCAGCATCACTTCATGCATAAATGAAGTAAAGGATCAAGATATCAGCAAGTCTTTCAAACACAAGTTTTTCATAAGAGATTCTTGCAACAAATTGCTCAGTAGGAGACGTGCATGTTGGTATCTAAAAAGGACTCTCCTATCTAAAAGAATGAAACTGATGGTGTTAATGATGGTTGCACAGTTATACAGACCATGAGAATTTCATCATATGGATTTGTAGCTGGCACCGAATCAGGAGTATTACAATACCAACGAGGGTCAGCTAATGCCTAGGATTTTGAGCAATGGAAATTAGTTATATAAATAAAGAACATGAATGAGAAGTACATACTATAAAGCTATCACCACCAACAGTTGATAGTAAGTGAAGAAAACTAAGGCAGAAGAAGCTAGCCAGTATGACTCATGTCTGTCTGATGTTCAAGTTATTTCAATGCAGAGATAGTAAAATATTAAAAAGCCAGGTCAAAAGGCAAGAGAATGTAGTTTTGGTAAAGATATAAACAAGCGTACCGATTTTTCTGAACCTTTATTTATAATTCCTGATAGGTTGCAATTTGATAGTTAATTTTATTATTAACTTTCCCTATTACTTAACCCAATGTGAATTAATTATTAGATTCTACTCACTTTTCGTAATTTGCATTTATTTCAGGGAGTAGAACAAAAATATCACAATAAAGGCCAATTTGACAGTTATCGAGAAAGAGTTCACATAGCAGGCAATCGAGGACATTTCTGGAATAAGGAGATACAAGTCCTTTTTGATAATTTGCAGATGACAGCATTAAAAGGGAGAACGCAGGGCTGAAGTGGGGAGTCTTCTTCTTCCCCCTGGGGGAGCCGCCGCACAAGGCAGAGCTTCTCAAAAGAGGACATTAGATAGGAATAGAGCAAAACAATGGCAGACAACTCTTTAGCTTAGTCTTTTGACTTTTCCTTGTGGGCTCCAAGTAGCTTTTCCTTTTCCTTCTCGTATGATTGGACAAGTAGAAACCATAGAATCAATTGCTGTAGCTTTGCTATCTTTTCAAACATTGGAACCGAATTGAATTTCCCCAATTTCAAGGGACAATGGTTGCGGCTCTCTTTACAATTTTGCGTGGGATTTGTTCACCAAAAATGAACTAATTCTCTTTGTCTAGTCAAGGGACAACGGATGCTTTGGGTCGCCTAAAATTGTGAGATCGTTTTAATTTAATCTTTTTTCTTTTATTTATTGGTATCCGCATATTTCTTGGTTGCTATGTTTATGGTTATTTAATTAATTGATTGTCTTGGATCCAGATAATTAGTTGATTGGATAATCTATTGTCAATTAGGGCATTAAATCCGTAATTGTTTAATTGCTCTAAAATAGTGGCAACTGGCATAATTAGACTTGTGTCAGGGGAATACGCGGGCTAATCTAAAATAACCCTGGTAGTGCGTTATTTGATTAGAATAGGGCTCCTCTAATACGTAAGGCAATTGGGGAATT